GCGTGTGTGTTTATATATGCGAATGTGTGTTAATGTAACTGTGTTGACATGGTTAATAAGAATAAGGTTCTCCTGTTAATGATCCCTAAGGTTACGTAAATCAATGCCGTCACTCTCGGTTCTGGCGATAGCTACATGTCTGACGTCACAGCATTCAAATCGGCACGTTTAAATTATTGAATATGAATACAATTATTTATTGATAAAAACGTGTTATAAAGACATACATACAATATATATTTACAAATTTTAACCGTAATGGTCTCTTAAATCTAGCATGGTTTAAACTTAACATAATTTTAACTATTAATTTATATCATGCGTCAATTTTAAGCACAAATATTGCTACGAGCATCTTTATATACTTTTAGACTGTGAAGCTGCGTTTATGCTGCCCAGGAAATGCATCCCTACGTCCGTGAGGCGTCGACTGGCTACTTATTGCATTACACTCTTTATCCGTATTGGTCGTCTCACCATAATGGGGCTGTAAGTCAAGTGACAGAGGTCAACTTTTATGTTGACTCCCCTGCGGCTTACCGCTGCTGCCGGTCGCACTGTTGTTGCTGTCGAATTCACTGGCCGTGGTGTAATCCGTTTCGATTTCACGTAATTCAATTTTCTGCTCACGCATGGCTCGCTGCGTAAGTGGGTGGCATGATGTTATCTGCATGAGCCTGCCCACAAGGGGTATTTTTTCATTCAACACTCACCTTTACGCACTCCTGATAAACCTTGAAAATTGGTGCACATACGGAATCATCGGTTTCTCCTTTAAGAAATCGTTCGGAAAACCAGTTGTTGAAACAGGCATCGTACTGCTTTTTTAACTCATTGCAATCGTCGCCTATGCTGTTCATGCTGTAGTGTATTCAAGTTTTAATTGATAATTTTCACTTGTTAAATAATAGTTCCAATAAAACGTGCGTCCACTGCAGAAACCTTGCCGATTACATATCGATACACATATTTCTGCGTATGAAAGCGATATTCTACCAGTGATAGCGCATGGTACGCTGACCGCCAAAAGCTCAAGTTTAATGATAACGAGTAAAGACTTTAGTTAGCGCGCTTTTTCAAATTTAATCAACAGAAAAATTTACAAGACTGTCTTATATGATTTCATTTAAAATAAAATGGCTTGATTTTTGTTGGTTTTTCCTTCCTTTTTGTTTTGTTTTTATTTGAATCAAAGACTTTCGCACTTTAGATTTTAGTTCATACAAAATGCATTTATCAATTAGTGTTTAGGCATAATGAGCGTTATAACAAATTCACAGTACAGTATAATTGATAAGGACAAAATGGATGCAATGAATTGGCTGTATGCTAAGTTAAACGTAGACCTCCGATTTGGCGTTTCAACCAAATCGGAGGTCCGACCACAGTGAGCACAGTTCCATTTCCCTAGTATCAGTATATGATCCATGGATTTGTTTAAAGGCTTCTTTTTCTACTTGGTGTGTCTACTCCTCTTCGATGGTCTGCACTTGTTGTTGCTGTTGCTGCTGTTGTTGTTTGTGGTGTCCACGCTGGTTCCGGTTGCGCTGATTGCGATTGTCGCGACGCTGGCCGCCCCAATTGCCGCCTTGATTGTTCTGGTTGCGATTGTAGCCACGATCGCGATTACCCATATTGCCACGCTGGAAGAAGTTGCCCTGCTTCATGTCGAACACCTTCTCGTTCACATCGACCAGATTGGTAACCTTATCAACGAACTGCATGGCCAGCGCTTGCAGGCGCGACGGCTCCGAACGATGCATCACTACCGTCTCGCTGGGATCGTCCAAGCTGGCCATCAGCTCCTCATTGATGATCATCTTGCTGATGATCGAATGCACCTTCGGCAGGGGCAGCTCATACATTTGCGCCAGCGACGGTATGCTAATTGAGGTGTACACATTGGAGTACGTGAACAGATAGGTGCGCAGCGATTCCTCTTTGATGAACTTGACAAGCATTTCCCGCACACGCTCCGATTCATAGAACAGATCCCAGACCTTGGTGTTCATCTTCTTGTTCACAATGAAGTTGGCACAAGCCTGCCAGTTGCCACAACGCATGGCCTTGGCGGCGGCGACGACATGTTCACGCATCGACTCCGGCGGACCCACCAGGGATTGGCGTTCCGAGGAACGCAATTGTTGGTAAAACGTTTTGCTGATCATGCGACGACGTGCATCAAACTCGTGGGCAGCAATGTAAGGTATTTCAAGAAGCATGGCCGAGACCAGATAGACGCACTCGAGCAGCTCCAGATTGATGTGCATATGGAATGGCATCTGGCGCTGTTTTTCGATCTTCTCCTGCTCGGCGGAACGTTCATGCTGTCGCTGAGGCAACAGTCCCTGGGCGAGCAATTCCTTTGGCTTGCCGGTGACCATCAGATCGACCAGGCAATGATGCGCATCCTTGATGTTCTCCTGACGGAAGGCGCACAGGCCCAGATTGGCCATCATGCGATTGTACAAGATGCGCGTCGACGGATCCGCAGCATCGATGTTGTCCTGCAAGTGCGACATCAAAACCAAATCACGCGCCTGGAACCAATTGTCGTGCATCGCATGATGATAGATGTGCGCCAATATCGCACGCGTCCTAATGCGATCTGTGTCATCCTTGGCATAGATAAACTTGCACAATTTGTCCATCACTTCAACGGATGACGGTGCGGAGCCTGTGGCCGGTAGCTCGCCTCGTTTGCGTTTGAGCACCTCGGGATCGAACTTGTAGTAAAGATGCTCGATCTTGCGCAGATAGATGCGGCAACGTTCGTTGTTGTTGCCGCAACGCTCAAAGTATTGAACGACCAGCTCAATGGTCTTCACCACATTGATCTCGTCTTTGAGCCGGGAAACGTAGTCGTTTGAGTGCGGGTCGCACTCCTTCAGCAGTTTGGTGAACTCATCATCGAGACGTTCCACGGCCGCCAAAGGGCAACCGCGTATATAATACGGCGCTGTTACATATTCCTCGTGCTCCTCGGCCACGCTCTCGTTCATGATGATGTCTGGATTTGCGAGCAGCAGTTTCATCATGCTCTGCATCACCTCGAGCAGCAGGGCCCAGTGCTCCAGCTTCATGGGCTCCGAAATCTTTTGATTGTAGTCGAAGATGGCCGAAATGATGTTGAAATGAATCTTCACACTAATTGGCGTGCCCAGATCATGCTGCTCTGCAATGTCTCGCAGCTCAAACAGCAAATCGATCTGCAAACGGCGATCGGTACGCTTTTTGCCGCGCGCCGACATTATCTCAATCAGTTTGGCCAGCACGAGGGGAATGTCGATTTCGGCATCCTTTTCGAACATCTTCGGCTTCTCAACGACATTGCCCTTGACGACCGTCTCCCATTCACCATCCTCGTCGTCTTCGGCACGCTTGCGCACCTTGTGCTTCTGCTCCTTCCGCTTGTCTTTGCGTTTGTCATCATCCTTGTCCTCCTTCTCGGTGGTACGCTTAAGGAAACGCTCACGCATATTCTGGTAAAGATTCTCATCTTCTGACGATTCGGTCTCCGACTCGGTATCGGAATCCCAATCGATTGAATCATCCGAATCGTCATCATCAGCAACCGCTTTAGTTGTCACCGATTTAGCAGCCTTCGGCAATTCAGCAAGTTTGCCGGCTCCGGCGCCAACGCCATCGTCGCTGTCAGCGCCAGCACGGTCGGCGTCGCTTTCATGCGCCTCACCCTCGCCTTCTTCCACGTCACTCTCTTGGTCGGGCGCTTCACGGAAACGTGCCAGATCCTCCTCAAAATCTTTGATATACTTCCGCACCTTTTGCCGCAATGTGCCCAACGACTTGGCATTGTTTTTCGAGAGATTCTTGCGTCCTTCCCGATCCTCCCACACTTCATTGATGAAATCTTCGAGCTCGGCCAGGCAGCGAATATAGAAGCGGGGCGTAATGCCGTTCTCCTCCTTAGAGATGACGGGCAGGGCCTTCGTGTAGGCTCGCGTTAAGTCCTCAAAACTGCTCAGCGTATTGGGGATATCCTTAATCTTCTTATGGTTGCGTATCGTTTTAATGATGCTTGTTAGGTTCTCATAGCGCTTTTCCTTGGTAGACCGCACGACACGCTTAACTTCTTCCTCGTCATCGCTAAATTGCTGCACCAGAGAATATATGTTTTATTCAAATATTCTATAATATATTCTATTGATACTACTTACGAAATTGGTTGCTTTATTGAAGTTGGATGCTTGAACTTCCTCTTCGCTGGATTCAGATTCCGAGTCCGAGCCGTTGGCAAAGAAACGTGACATGGTGTTTAATTCTGCTTATGCCGTGTTCTGCAACAAAAAATTAGAAATACAATATTAGTACAATTTTTAACTGCCTTTGACTGAGGTGTCATAGAGCGGTTGAGGTTAGGTTTGAGCGGCCAACATGGCGTTTGCCAAACATTGGCAGTCCCTTTTTGCACACAATTACACAGATATTTCAATGAACGCGAATTGCAATACATGACAATCCATCAGCTTGGCAATTGTCAACCAGCTTACTGCAACAATAGGCGTGGTATTCCATGAAAACTTACATTTATTACAGCAAAACGATGTCATTCACAAGACATCAAAGAAAAGAGGAATAATAAAAGTTTGCTGTTATCGATAAGTCATACGTATAGAGTGATGTGTA